ATCTTCTTTGTTAAGTTTTCTAAAATAAAATGCCTTTTGACTTAGTTATAACACAGTAACAAGTGAGGTTACAAAAAGTGTTCACTGTCTAAGGTTACTCTAGTTACCTACTATCTTAAAAGAAGTAGATATAGGATAACACTATTAAAACAATTATTTATATCAAAAAAAGATTTTTTAATGATGTTTATAATTTAAAATTTTTAAACTTATTAAAGATGCTATTATTAAATTAGAAAATAGAAATATAATATTAGCTAATTGTTATTTTGTATTAATAGGTTTAGAAAATTCAATTCATAAAATGTCTAAAGAAATTCATAAACAATTTCATTATTATGTTATCAAAATATTTAATTCAAGATACAAAGAATATGAATTTGATGAATATCTTTTAGTATATTTTCTTTATCTAGATTATAAAAATAAATTATTTATTATATAATTATATATTTATTTTAATTTTAAATTTGTTATAAATTATTTAGATACTAGTATCCAAAAAAATCAATTTTTAAAAATTGCAATTTTAACAACTAATATTTGGTAACAAATAATAAAAATTCTAGAAATTGTAATTCAATTAAAAAATTATAAACATTTTAAACAAAAATCTGGAGATATGCTTATTAATCAATTTAGAGAATTTTATTTAAATCAAAATTCATTTAATGCATCTTTTTTATTAAATATTGATTCAGCTTTAAGTTGATGGAAAACATGTACAATAACTCTACCATATTTATAATTACTTGAAATTAAACTTTTTTCAATTACTTCACATACAACAAGTTATGAAAAAATTTGATCTATTTGTGAATAGATAACAGGAAAAAGAACAAATTTATCAATTGAAAATCTTGAATCATTAGTTAAAATTTATTCTTATTATATTACTAATAGAACATCTAAATTAAATTTATATAATTAAGAACATACAACTGAAGATACTTATCAAGAATTATATAATATATATTTTAATAAAGAAGAAAAGGAAGAAGATAAAAATGAAATTAAAAATCAATTAAATATTGATTTAGATAATTATAATTTAGATGATGATGAAGAAACTATATAAGAAAATCTAAATTTATTAGAAATAATTAATTTAGAAAATAATATTTTTAAAAATAATGATGATGAACAATTTATGAAAATTTCAGATAATAAAAATAAATTAGATAATTTTATTCAAGATTTAGAAAATGAAAAAGATTATAATCCAAGTAAATTAGTACAAAAATATTTTGAAGATATTGATGATATTTATTATTATTAAAAATTAAATAATTAAATTTATTATTATTATTTAATTTTATATTATATATATAAAGATTTTTTTCTTAATATTAAGGTTTTTTTTATCTTTATATATATAACTAGGGTAGCTGCATAGCATGTTACCCTGCGCAGAACCAGTACAATCTTATATTTTAATGTAACATAGTGCACATTATATAGTAAATTCTAATAAATTTTTTTTAAAAAAATATATAAAATTCAAACTGCAATAATTCTTCAATCAGAAAATCTCATATAAATAAAATTACATTTGTCAAGTTTGTTTTAACATGTTCTTTAAAGTAATAAGCTTTTTTTTCTCTTAATTTTATTGTTTAGAGTGCAGTGAAAGACTCTCAGTTTCTATGCAAAGTTCTTATTTTTGATGTATTTTTAATAAAAACATCAAAAAAGGCAATATTAAGATTTGCTTGTGAATCATTGCATATTGTGTAACACAACAAATAGTTTTGATTTTTACTTGTTAAGATAAAAAAATATTGAATAATTTATAAGAAACCAAAAAAAAGAGCATTTTTGCTTTAAAGAGTATATTAAAACAAACCCGATAAGTATAGTTTTATTTGTATAGGCATGCTGCTTCAAGTGTTATTGCAGTTTGAATTTATTATATTTTTTACTATCACTTGATGATCTATAAAAAACTTTATTATTAAAATTTATTATATAATGTGCACTATATTTGTAAATTGACTAATAGGATACATCCTAATCTTATATATACATGTTTATATATGGTTTTTGGTTTAGTTTTTTTTCAACTTTTTTTTTTGTGATCATTTTTGGAACTTGAGTTATTTGTCATAATTGTTGTATTATTAAATTGATGTGTTAATAATGATGATATTAATTGGTAATTAATTCATCAAAGTTAAGTTATGTTAGTGGCTGTTATTTATTTTTATTAAATCATAATGTATTATATATATATATTTATTTATTCTAAATTATAGTCATTGTAATATAATGCTTTGTTATTTTTTATATTATAAAATGCTATCTGTTGTAAAAAATTTAAAGTTTTTTTTAATCTGTAACTTGCATGATGTCATGCTATGTCAATACGATCATAAAGATTAATCAAGTTCATTAGTCTGTTAAAGAGGAATCTAATTTAACTCATATATGGGCAATTGGCATTTATTCTGTTAAGAGTGAAGATTGTAAAATTGAGATAGTCTTGTTCATCCCTATAAATGATCATGATAGAAATCCTAATACGCAATCTGTTTTTGTTAAAAATGAGTATTTTAGTATTGGTGAGAAGGTTGCTATTAGAAATTACAATGAGAATTTAAGATTAAAGATTATCAGTATTTTTTTTATTTTTTATTTTTTTTGTGTAATATGTTATTGTTGATAACATTTGGTTTAATTTTTTATTAGTCCAGATGACTGTTGCATTGTCTACGCATCTTACAATTAGAAAAGATCCTGGTTCAAACAGGTGTTCATTAAAAGTTTCATTGGTTGGTACTATTCAAGATGCAGCACAAGAAGTTAACAATAAAAATGTGATTATTAAAGTGTTTGTGAAGGATTATGTTGATTAGAATGATAGCTTTATCGTTAAGGTTGTATTTCCATATTGTAATAATCAGTTTAAACATTTGATGAATTCTATTAGATCAGATGTTTCAGTACTTTTTATTATAGTGCAGATGGAGGTTATTCAGGGAGATTTATACATGTATGCTATTGAGACCTCTTTTGTTAATGCTTATTTTGTAGATAAAAATGAAGGTTCCAGTTCAAATTCATAATCTACTTCAGGATTATACAAGTTAGTTCAATCAAGACTTTTATCTGCTTATCAAAATGTTAGCAGAAAATTTTCCAAAACTTCTATTGAAAATAATAATAAATGTGCGGAGATAAATCAAACTACAATTGATCTGTCTATTTCTGTTAATTGATCAACTGTTTTTGGTTCTTGTTTATCTAAACATACTAAGATTGAGGATGAAGATTCTGAACATATGGGTTCAGATTATATTGAGAATGAATGCTTAGTTAAGGACAATAAGGTGTATGTTGATGAAGGTAATAAATTAGTTAGATGTGTTATTAATGAAAATGTGAAGAAAAATTGTTCAGAGGAAGATAATGGATCTGGTAGAAATGCTATTAATGTAAGTAGAAAAAGGGGTTGGAGCAAAAAATAAACAATAGTTAATGTTTTTTTTTATATTATATTTTATAAGAGAGCATTTTTGAGGTTTTCAAAGTTGTATAAATTTATAAGGTTTAAATTTTTGAGTTTGCACTATTAATATTTTGTGTATTATCTTGTAAACATTTATTAAAATGTATTGTACTTCAAATTTTGCATATTAAGAGTCTGAGTTAATTTGGTTACAAGCATATGTTTGGTTTATTAGTTATTGTCATTTAGATATAAATTATTGGATTACATTAATAGAGTAGTATTATGCATTTCATTTTTTGTACAATTTTTAGCATACTTTATTGTAAATTATAGCATTTTTTTATAGTTTTTATGTGTAATGCTGATATTCAGTTGTTTTTGAGCATTTCTTTAAGTGTTCAAGTTTCTTTTCTAGATCAGGATCTATTGTCACATTCAATTTAGATTGATTAAACAGTCATAATATTATGATATCTTTTAACTTTTGTACTTGAAATAACATTACATATACACCTGCTCTTATTTTTTCTCTGTCTAGGTCAACTATTACCTTTTTTAACATAGTATCTTGATATTTGAATTCTATAATTGCAAAGGCCAGAGTGATAGATAATTGTATTCTCTGAAATTCTTGGATTATTTTTGTTCCATCTTTTGTTTTGCATATATATTTGCATTTTCATTTAATGGAATAAATTGGTATATGATTTGGTGGAAGTTGTTCATATAAATCCAGTTTGTGATCTAAGAGTTCTACTATTATATATTTAGGAGGTTTATTTAAAATTATGATTTTTTCATTGTTAATGTTCAAGTCTTCTTTTATTAGCATTTCATTATTATACATAATATTGCAGAACACATCTTGGGCACTATTTACCATACCATCATTGGTACAGATATTAACTGTTAGAGCTACTTTCATGCCTATTGATAATAGTAATATACCACATAAGGAGTTTGATTTTGCATTTAATAAACTCAGGAATCTTTGTTGAATTCTGCCATCAACTAGTTTGTTTTTGTATTTGTCTTCTGCACATATATAATAAATTGGTTAATTATGAGTTTTTGCATGCTCAATTTCAGCTTCAAAATTTATCTGAATTTATAAATCATTTCTTTAAACTAAAATATAGCATTATCCCATTCTGGTGAATTAATTTTATTTTCTGTTAATATATGATTATAAAGTGTTTCACATTGAATTGATGTTAGATGGCCATGATGTAAGTTATTTAATATAGCTGCATATGCCAGGTTATCAACTTGGCACATTTGTTTTTTCAATGTTACTACATGTTTTACTGATGTTTACAGTTCTCTTCCATTAGCACCAATTAATTTGCATGTATTTATAGGTTCTGTAGTATGGTTTTGATTTTCTTTGTGTATTGTTTTGTTAATATTATTTTGTCTATATAATGAATAATTAAGTATTGGTGGTAGCTGAAAAAAGTCTCCAACAAAAATTATGTTTAAACTGGCAAAGGGTATGGTATCATCCTGGAAGCATTTTACTTCTTTAATACATGCATGTAATTGTGTTAATAGTTTTTGTTCCACCATAGAAACTTTATCTAGAATAAGGTATTCAATGTTTAACCAACATTTTTGAAGAGCTTTTTTTGATATTTTTTGTAAAAAATTATATTTACATTCATCATTGTCTTTAAAACCAAATCCATATAAAGAATAGAGAATGTAACTACTAATATTTGATGCAGCAATGCCAGTTGGTGCACAAAGTACAAGAGTTTAATCTTTGCCAATTTGTTCAAAATACTGTTTAATAGCTTTAATGACTTCTGACTTGCCTGTACCTCCAGCATCACCCAAATACACTAATAGTTGTGGTGGTCTGTTGGAGTTATCAGGATAATTTTGTTCACAATGATACAAACCAAAAAACAATATTTTTTTGTTCTCGTTAAGGTTAATCGAAATTTCTTACATAATAGTTTGATTTTTTTGGTTTGATTTGTAAAAAAAAGGGCCTAAAATATAAGTTTCTTCAGTACTTGTAGTATTATTTATTTGTTCTATTTTTTTTTGATGCTACAGTTTCTTGCCATATTTTGATTAAGTATTCATCATTTTTACATAAAGATTATACTTGGTTATTCTGATCATATTCTGTGGTTTTGATTTTTTCTTGAAGTTTGAGTATTTGTTATTTTTGGTTTTAAATTTATTTCTTAAGTTCAAATGCAGCATAGCACTATCAACAAATTCTGCATTATTTAATCCTAAACGCATAATTTTATACGGGTCTAATGTGAATGTGCTGTTAAAGTTATTTTGATTATCTAATATTTCTATGTCATCAATATTATTATAACCTACTATAGATCTTTCTATTTGTTGAATTTTTGCAGCTTCTGGGTTTTTTCTCATTACTTCACATAGTTGATGGTCTAAAATCATTTCCTCTGTACATCAGTGTAAGAGCTCAATATTATCAATTATGAATTATATTCGTGGTGTTAAATTTGGATTTTTTAAAAAAGCTTTGCATGCTTTATGTCATAAGTTATATTTGTTTATTAAATCATTTATAGTTACTCATGGTTTGAATAATAAAAGGATGCAAAGCCCATAGCATTCTGCATTTTTTAAATCATTCTTATGTGGTATACCTTTTCCACATATTATAGGTATTCTTTTATTTTCATGGCACTAATGAGCTGCATGTGTGTAGAGTGTTGTAGATGTATTGTATTATAATTACAAGTTTCATTGCATTCTTTTTTCTCCATCTAAAAACAGAAATCAGTCTACTCTTGTTGCATATTCTTCATGATTTTTTTGTCTTTTTAGTTTGTCCAGTTCTTTATTGTTGATTTTTATTTTATAAATTGTTGTAATGTAATTATAAAGACACATATTTCTTAATTGTTCACTACTGTACATATAATCAATGTGTAAATTTACTGCATTTACTCGATTTTCTAAATTTATCATAGTAAATATCTCATCATTAGCAAATTTGGAACTGTTTTCATTTTGTTCTGGTTCATTATCATCACTGTCAGTATCAGAACTTTTTGAATATGTCAAGTTAAATAAGTTTTTATTTAGATATTGTAAGAACAAATACAGTTCAAAAGAGTTAAGATATATTATAACAAATTTATTTGGTGTATAATGATCTTTAAAATCTAAAAGGTACATTGATACTTGAGGTTCGGTTACTTCTGTCTGTCTAACAATCTTGTTGAAGCATATCATAACAAGTTTTCATAATTTAGATATATATTCTTTTGATTGTTTATCCAAATGTGATGTGCTTGTAATATACTTATTCAAAGTTATAGCACATATTAGAAATGAATTGTGTGTATTTACATCAGATTTCATTATATAATCTGTGATATAATGAATATATGCTAGTGCTAACTTAACAGCTGTAATAAATCTTATATCATTATTCCTATAACAACTAGCAGTTATGTAGAGATTATGATTATTTATATAAGCATTACAGCATTAAAGAGCAATAACTCCAAGTTCTGAGTAAATTTTTTCAGATGCTTCTACTAGCTTATAGAAAAAGTCAAACTTACAATTTGATGTTCAACTGCAGTAATATTTCTTACATGATTTGCTACATTTATGAAATAATATGCATTTTGCTATTCTAAGAATATCAATATGAAGCTTCTTGTTAAAGTCTGAAGACCATGAATCTGGAATAGGTAAAATTGATGAGTGTATCCTTTTTTTAACATAATTTTTGTTTTTTTGTACTTAGTGTCTAACATTTTATCAGTTATATAATTACTATTTGTACAGAGATAGCTGATATTCTCTTTAATTATTTCATTTATATAATTCATTAGTTGTTCTCTGAAATTTTCAAGCTTAAGATGTTCTCATATTTCAATAGGATTAAGGGCACCTTGTAGTCATATTAACATATAGCAATAAGATGTGCCATGATCCTGATATTCTATTATGCCATAATAATTTTTTATATTACCTAATACTCCGCCTTCTGGTTTTCTATAACCAAGAATAAATTTAATTATATTTTCTATTAAGTTATTAAAATATTTTGCTACTGCAGTTGAATCAAGGTGTGCCAACCTGACTCTTTCTGTTGCAGTTGGAAATTCTTCTGGAAGTAAATTATTAATGTTTATTTCTTCTCCTGCATACATTATCACTATTGAACTGTGAAGATCTGCAGGATTGATGGTCATGAACAGCAAGAGCAAACCATCTCATACAATGATAGCACAAATTTCATTATGAAGATATTTTCATGATTGGTATGAACCCATAATTCTTTTACTAACAATATTTATATTTTTTAACAATTCAAACACTACTCTATTTGTTATCAGTTGTTTATTTTGTTTTTGTTCAATTGCTATTTTTATATCATTTTGTGTAAGTTTCGAAATTATTTTAGCTGATTGCTTGAAATTTTCTTGCTTTGTTGTTAAGTATGTTCCTGATGCAATATTTCTCCTTCATAACATATCGAATGTAGCGAAAATAAATAAATGATGTTGTCTAAATTTGGGATTATTAAGCTGCAATAAATGTTTGATATATTGCTTGAATGGTATGTATTGTTTGCAGTAATTATCTTCATGACCACTAATTCCATAAGAAAACAAAATAGGAAATGTGGCAGGTAAAAGAGTCAGATCTGTGTATTCGTTTTTAGGTGTATTCAAATGTGGCATTAGAATTGCATTTGAATTGTAATCAGTTATCTCCTGAATCATTTTTCCAAGCAATTTTAATGAACATTCTTGTTCTAAAATAAAAATATTATTGTCATATATCATACTCAAATTTCTCAATTCAGTTAAATCATTTATAGAATTATGCGTTTCAAATATAGTTTTTTCATATTTTTGTTCTATATCATTTTTATGATCTATACTATTACTCATATTGTCTTCATTAATTGGATCTACCATATATCCTGTATAGTGTTTCACTATTTCAGGATTAATATCAACTATAACAATCATAGTCAATAAAGCAGAAAGTATCCCATTTTCTGGCAGTGTTTCTAGTATTGTTTTATTGATGTTAATTTTTCTATATAAATTGTTGTAGTTTACTAACCATTCTAGAGCTGTAGCAATTTTATTTCTTCTTACACCTAACACTTTTTTTAGTTGTTCTTTTGTTGGTTGTTCTTCTCTAACAAATACAACTTTTAGATGATCACACAGTTGGTATGCAGGTAAAGGCAAGATTGTAGAAAGCATGGTTGGTTCTTGCATAAATATAATTACATGACCCTTTAATTTGTAATATATATGCTTTCGATCATTAAGCTGAATAAGATTTATATACATATACCCTGAAGATATCAAGAGTTGTTCTGATATCATCATTCCTTAAAGACATTCTGGTATTGTTTCTATCCACATATTTACCAGAGAAAGTATTGGTGTTTTACCTGCATTTAATGATTATTTACAATTATAGCATATTCGAAAATTGAATAGATTTTTACTATTACTTGTGTTACTTTTGACAAAACCATCTCTATCTAACAAAATCTTATAACCATTGTTATCTATATATAGATGTCCATATGTAAAATCAATTTTCATAAAAGACTCTTCAAACTATTTGTCAGTTTCAAGTAATGGTAAGTATATCTCTCATGTATCAATAGTAGTTAAATGTTCATACAAAAATAATCTAGAACAAATCATACAAGAAAGTTCTCTAAGTTCATCACAGCTTGTATTTTCACAAAATTCAGCTAATGCATTATTCGTATTGGTTTTATCAATTGGATATGGCCAGTTTGCATACTGTTCTTTCGACAAGACAAACTTATTATTTATTTCCAAAACATGTAATAGAACACATGCCTTAGCTGCTTGAATGTCTTTTTCTATATATATATTTCATTTTTTAGTATGCTGAGTTTTACTTCATTTGCATTGCTATTTTTGTTCATGATGTCAATAATCTGCACATGTTCTTTGCATAACTTTTTGTTGTTTATGTTTCAACTTATAGCTATCAAAATTTGTAGATTCATTCCTAAAAAACAGAAATTAGTATATTATCATAAGAATTTTGAAATTTCAGAATTTTAAAAATTACATTTACATAATTAAAGTCTTTCTAGAAAGTCACAGCATTGAATTAAAAAGATGGTAATGACAGTGATTAATTGTACAATTTATATTTAGATTAATGATTACTCATAAATATTTTCTTGTATACTTTTTAATATTATCACATATTATACTAATCAATAATTTTTATCTAAAATATTTTCAGCTATAAATTCATTGTAAGAAAAAATTGTGCTCTTAATTATTTTTTAAAAAGGTCCATTTCACACATGCATGAACAATTTATTCAACTAAAAAAAAATATAATTACAGCATTTATGTTTAATGATATCATAACATACATGATATTATAAAAAGTTCTGATTCAATAATGCATATAAATTCGAATCTCAATAAACACAAGCATATAGTCATAGCACATTCATATTATATTAATCAAATTTAACTATAGTGATCACGCATAATCAAAATTTATGACATAATATTACCAATCATAATCATAGTGATCACATATAATGATAATGCTCAAAAATTTATGACATTTTATTGTTCAAATATAATTATAATGATAATGATTACATACAATGCTCATATTATTACATTATTACATCGATCAAATTTAATCATAGTGACCATCAAAATACAGTTATTTAACATCATTATATGTGATGATTATTTATGGATATAATTGTCATAATGTGATGAATTCTCATATAATACCTAATACACATGTCTTGTACATACAAATGATAGTTGTTATTATGTTTGTAAAAAATTTCGATCATATTATGCATATATATTACATCCAACTGTTAACAAAATACTTTTATAATACATCTGTATATATTACATGTAACTCATGATTTATATGAATGAAGAATATTAACTATGCACCATATCCTTGACCAAAAAAGCCTGTAACCTTTCTTTAAACAGATAAATGAAAATCATAAACATCTTCAAAAAAGGTTTCTGCAAAACTCAGCATAAGCGACATAGAAAAAATCGATTTCAACCATCCCTCCCACATTTCATGTTACACAAGAAACGTGATTGTACTGGTATATAAAATAGTTTATTAGTATTATATTTTTAATATTAAATAGTTTATTAGTATTGTATTTCTAATATTATTTATTTATTTATATAAATATATTTTTATTAAACATTTTATTAAAATAAATTTATCTTATAACTTATAATTTTAAAAATTTTATATTATAGTTTCAGAGTTTTGGATTATAGTTTCGGAGTTTCGGGTTTCAGAGTTTCAGATTAGAACCTTCAGAAACTAGTTTCGAATAGGTTTTGTTTCGAGTGCCAACTCTAATGGGAGTAACGATGGGAGTAATGATGGTTTATTAGTTTGTATAGGGTAGACTTTCACTTTTATTAAGGGTCGGGTATTTATTGTTATTAGGGAATTTGGGACTGATTGGTATATGGGACTCTCTCGTTCCCAAGGCAGAAATGCCCTTTATTTATAATAAACGTTTTATTTACATTCGTAATTAACTTCTACCATAAATGCAATATATTTCTTATATGCTATATGTAATAAAAGGTCGATATCCCATTTATCGTATAAGTAGCTGAAATGGCAGAAGTAACGGAAGTAGCAGAAGTAACATTTCCGTTACTTTTCGCGTGACCTTGGATCGGGTATGGATCGTCGTCTCGATTCGGGCACTCGTGATCCCAAAATTCGGGCTCACAGTATAATGAATATTTATTAATTTAAGTAATTATGAGAAACTATTATTTAATTTCACTTCATTCGTGATAATTTAGTGGGTGAGTAATAAGAACACTTATTAATCTAAGTATTAAAATAGCTATTCAAGTTCATGAGTGTTTACTATCTAATTTTATCATAGTTTGTGAGTATTTATTAATCTAAGTATTTAACCTAAGTTATTCAAATTCATAAGTATTTATATTTAATTTCGTTTTTGTTCGCTTTAATTTAGTGGGTGAGTGTTAAGGCTGGTTATTATTCAAAGTATTTGAATCAAGTTCATAAATATTACTTTTTAATTCCATTTTATTTACGTAAATTTAGTGGGTGAGTATTAAATATATTTATTAATTCAAGCATTTTAAAATAAGATGTTCAAGTTCATGAATATTTACTATTTTATTCTCAATAATTTAGTTTGAGTATTAAGAACATTTATTAATGCAAATGTTTAAAACAAGCTATTCAAATTCATAAATATTCACTATTAAATTTCATTATTCTCGTTAATTTAGGAGGTAAAAATACTTATTAATCTAAGTATTTGAAAATTAAGTGTTTAAATTTATAACTACCTATTTAATTATTTAATTTCATTTCATTCACGTTAATTTAGAATATGAGTATAAAGAACATTTATTAATACAAATATTTAAAATAATATATGCGAATTAATGGGTATTTGCATCTAATTTCACTTTATCCGCACTAATTAGTCAGTGAGTATAAAGAACATGGGTTAATCCAAATTTTAAATAAGATGTTCGGTTCATTAATATTTATCACTTATTAATCTAAGCACACAATGGCTCTCGATATAACGGAGGCCATATATCAAAAGCTCCGTAATATCAAAATCTCATAATATATCAGATATTACAGTAAATGTATTTTATTCGCGTTAAACAGTGGGTGAGTATAAAGAACTTTTATTAATCTAAGTTTATGAACCATATAATTTAATTGCATTTTATTTTCATTAATTTAGTCTGTGAGTATAAAAACATTAATCTAAGTATTTAAAATAAGAACTTCAAATTCATAAATATTTCTTTTTAATTGCTTTTGTTCACTTAATTTAGTATGTGAGTATAAAGAATATTTATTAATTTAAATATTTAAAATAAGTTATTCAAGTTTACAGTATGAATATTTATTATTTATTTAGTCGGTGAGTATAAAGAGCATTTATTAATCTAAGCATTTAAAATAAGTTATTCATGTTCCATTTTATCCGTGTTAATTTAGTCTGTAAGTATGAACATCTATCAATCTAATATTCAAATTTTGATATTCAATTTAATAAATATTTACTATTTTTCTTCTGTTCACATTAATTTAGTGCGTGAGTATAACCAACATTTATTAACTTAAAATAAGCTGTTCAAGTTTGTGTATTTACTATTTTATTTTATCCACATTAATTTAGTGCGTGAGTATAAAGAACATTTATCAATCTAAGCATTTAAAATAAGCTATTTCACGTTCATGAAGATTTATTATCTAATTCGTTTTAAACGCGTTAATTCAGTACATGAGTATCTAAAATAAATTATTTAAACATTTACTATCAAATTTAATTTTATTCGTGCTAATCTAGTATGTGAGTAAAGGATATTTATTAATCCAAACATTTAATAAAGCGTACACTATTCGTACCATAGAATTAATATTCACACTATGAATATATGTCGCATCTGAAGTAGCGATTTATCTAAAGTAGCACCTGGATAAAATTAAGCCCCTGAAATTAGATATTCACGCATGCATTAGATTTTAATTTTAGCCAGGGCGCTACTTTAGATATATAAGGTGGGTACTTTAGATAAATCGCTACTTCAGATGCGACATATATAAGTTATCTCAATTTATTACTTGTTAAGGTTATCTACATGCATCTATTAGTTCTGAGCAAAAATCTATGGGGAAATAGTAGCGGTCTTACTTACTTCACCGAAAGTTCATTTAGCCGACATCATAGAGGGTTATCATTTGATTAGTTGAAGGTGTACAATTTTTATTTGGTGTGATGTCTTCTAAGTGAACCGTTGGTAAAGTATAGTATATCCAGTTTATTAATATATTATTTATAAATATATGTTATCTAATTTTGATTTTTTTTGCATTAATTTAGTGGGTAAGCATAAAGAATATTTATTAAACCAAATATTTAACATATAATATCCAGGCTCATAAGTATTATTATTAATTTAATCTTAGCTTGTAAGTATTTATTAATCTATATTTAAAATAAGCTATTCAGTTCATGAATTTAACTTCATTTATTCATGTTAATTTAGTCAGTAAGTATAAAAACATTGGTCAATTCGTAATATTTAAATAAGTTATTTAAGTTTATAAATATACACTATTTTTATTTTATTCATATTAATTAGTGGGTGAATATTCAGAATTTTTATTAATCTATTGTAAATGTTTAAAACACACCATGTAATTTCATAAATATTTACTATTTATTTCATTTTACTTACGCTAATTTAGTCTGTAAGTATAAAGAATATTTATTAATCTGACTATTTGAATAAGCATGAATATTTAATTTTATTTTATTTTCATTAATTTAGTTTGTAAGTATAAAAGCATTGGTTAATCATAGTATATTAAAATTAAGCTATCCATGTTCATGGATATTTATTATTTTGTTCCGTTAATTTAGTCTGTAAGTATAATATTTATTAATTTAAGTATTTAAAATAAAATGTTTAAAGTTCATGAATAACAATTTTATTATTTTATTAGTAGGTATGCATAAAAATCTTTTGAATTTAAATTTAAAGGTTCGCATGAATATTATGAAATAATTAATACAATTAATACTTTAAAAGAAATTCTAAATATGGAAAATGTACATATTGTAACGAAGATAACACGAATAATGCATGGTGCCTAGCATGTGATCCTGACGTAATAATTCAAGGGTGGACAAGTAGAAATAAAGAAATTGACGATTGTATGAAAGAGATTCAACTTAGGACTTACGATTATGAACTTATCATTGAATGGATTCCATTAGATAGACTTGAAAAAATTGAAAAAATTGGTGAAGGATGATTTAGATCTGTATTTTCTGCAATCTGGTTGGATGGTATACGAAAGATTCAAGTAATTAAGAAAGACAATGAAAACAATGAATATATAAAAGGACGTGAACCACGTAGTATCGTTGCACTCAAGACCTTATCTGGTTATAAGAAAAACCCTCTAATAGAGGTAAATTAAATTATTATTTATTACAAAGTTTATTAAACTTATATATTAATTATTTATTTATATAAATTTATGAAGTTTGACAATTACATTAAATGTAGAATGTACGGTAGTAACCTTAAAATTTATGGATTGACTCAAAACACAAAGACAAATGAATACTTGATGGTATTCCAATATGTAAATAATGGAAATCTTCACAAATTTTTAAGGAAAATTTTCAAAGGTTTAAGCTGGCAGATTAAATTAAAACTACTCAAAGATATCTCGCTTGATTCATACTGCAGGTTACATCCATGCAGACTTACACAGTGATAATATTTTGCAGGACAAAGAAATTAGTAAAAGTATGCGATCTTACATTTCAGATCTGGGATCGTCTAAGAGGAACGATTAAACTGATTCAGATTGTATTTATGGTGTCATTCCTTATGTTGCGCCAGAAGGTTTATCTGGTCAAAAATTTACACAGGCTGCCGATGTTTATAGCCTTGGAATAATCATGTCAGAGATATCAACTGGGCAAAGGCCTTTTGATAGTTATCAATTCGATGATGAACTTGCAGTAAAGATTTATTTTGGATTGCGACCTGAATTTGCTCCTGGGACTCCTGACTTGTATATTAAATTAGCTAAACAAGGCATGGATTTTGATCCACTAATGCTGAGAATGTTTATGATAAACTTTGTAATTGGAATAAAAGCATGGAATGTTCAGATGATTCAAATGAATTTAAAAAATAATTCTTGGAAGCAGATAAAATAATAAAAGAATTATCAAATATTTTACCAAAACATCCTGATTCTATGTATACGAGCACAATTATCAACACTCGAAGAATATCAGCTGCACTAGCTTTACAAAGTAAACCTATCGACTCTGTTGATGTTCCTGTTGATAAGTATGTCTGATAGGGAACTTACAATATTGTATTTTATGTTAGTATTTAGATGAAATAATGTTAATTTAATTTGTTGCTAAGACTTGCAAGTTTAGTTATTAATTGTAATTTTGCAGATATACAGTATATATTTACTAGTAGTTGGAATAATTCGTATCCGCCCTATGTTTACTATTAATATTTAGGGTTAGAATGTAGTTATAGACCAAAAATACGTATAAGGGTTCAAAGGTCATAGGATGACTTCTTCGTATTGTGAGCCCGATTTTTGGGGGTCACGGGTGTCCGAATCGAAGTGACGATCCTTACCCGATCCAAGGTCACGCGAAAAGTAACGGAAATGTTACTTATGGTACTTATGTCGCTTCTGCTACTTCGGCCACATATTCATTAAATGACATATCGGCCTTTTATTGCATTTAATTAAGATATGGAGCATAAGGAATATATTGCATTTATGAAATAAATTTATTACAAATGTAAATAAGACGTTTATTATAAATAATGGTCATTTCTGCCGGGGGAGGAGAGGGGAGAGTCGTCCCTTATATAAATAAATCCTCCAGTACCAATAAATATCCGACCCATAATAAAGTACCAGTTTTAGAATAAACTAGTTAAAATCGTTAACCCCACTGTGAATAAAATCGTTCGCCCATACATCACTAAACCCGCCATTTGGTATAGCAGACAAACTATTAAATTGTACGTATGCTGACGCACATTGATTGACGGCTCGCCGCAAGTCACGTGACAAGACCGATAGCGTAATAGAAGAGTCCCAACCCCGATTCGACGTAGAGTAATCCCCGGTTGAGGTAGACAAAAAGAAGGCTAGATTAGTAGAAGAACAGATTGAAAGAAAGACACAAAGAGAAGAGACAAGTACTTACCTACGGATAAACCACCAACCAAATCTAACACGCCTATTTCGCCGTAGGTTACACGAGAGTTGAACTACAGTATGATTGGTTAATTTTTGTAGATCTACCCGTGATTTTCCATGATAATTAACCAATCAAAATACCTAATTTTTTTTAAAAAAAAACTGTGTAAAGAAGCTTAGACAATAAATATACGTAAAAAAGGTTATTATTTATATTTAGAGAATAGATAGATGCGCGTAAAGTTGGTAAAGATAATAAACCTAACTCATTACATTAAAGAATCGATAAAATATAACAACTATTAATTTACGGTTTATAAACTACAGTAACCGAACAAAATTTACTCTTAAGCCCAGATTTTTTACTACTAAAGAGCTTGAACCTACACAACTTAACAGTTAGAAATAAAAGTTTATTTAAATCTAACATAATAAATTAGTTTTAGACGAAAACGTTACCTTCACTATACAGTATAATTTGGTCTGGTCCAATAAACGGTAGGCATATATTGTCTTCTAAGTAAAGTTCATAGGGATACTGATTATTACTGATTATTTTTGCATAGTAAATATCGAAGCGAAAAATGGTTTTTGTGGTGATTTTTTATTGGTGAAACGTTACGTTCCCAAAAAGTACTTTAAAGTACTGTATTAATTTTACCTTTAACCTTACCCTAACTTAAACTTCAATCCTAAACTTTATTAGTAAAATTATTACAGTCAACCCTCCATAAATGCACCCTCCATAAACGCACACACTATGTATATCCTTTCTAAATGCATATTTAGTCTTCAGTCCAAGTATATGAAGCACTTAACAAAATGCCCTTCACAAATGTACATCCTCTCTAAATGCACATTTTTGAAAAATTTGTCTATTGTCCCAAGGGGAGTACATTTACGGAAGGTTTTATAAAAATACATGATTCGTTATATGCACACATATATATTGTAATATGAACAATCAAACTAGATAATCTATCTAAATTTAAAAAATTTGGTAAAACCAAAATTCCAAATAATTTTGACATCATCTTGTGCTAGTAACAAATAAATTAGCATAAAATTATAAACAGAATTACGAGTATCAAAGGATAAAAGACTTACTATAATTCAAATTAATTCTAAAAAAATCATTTTCATCTTCGCCAATACCAAACATTAGAACACATTCTAAATTCTCTTTAACACCGTAAGCACAATCTTTAATATTTTGAATAGCATTTATTATATCCACCTTTGAACTTTCAACCTGAATTTTCTCTGTTTTTCCTGCTTCAACAACAATTCCATTATTACTATATTTTTTTGTGGCAGTCGCAATATGTTCATTATTCATATTAAACACTTTAGCATTAAAGCCAAATAAATGTAATCTAGTTTTAAGTGGGTTATTAAGCTTAAATGAGTCTTTAGAAGTAAAAGAGACCTCTGCTTCATTAATAAATGGAACATCTAAGCCCGGAAGAATAACTTCTAATTCTATAGTTTCAAAAGCTTTTTGTAATAGAGATATCGAAGTTGTCTTATTGTTTGCTTTAATGAATAATAGACTACCTACTCCATTTAAATAGTTCTTTATAAAATCTCCATCATCCTTATTTGGTAAATATTTCAAGCTAACAATAATATCTTTACTTTCACATTCCATTTTAAAGTCATCTATTGTTATTCTTGCAACTTTAATATTCTGATCAGATATTAAATCAAATTCGACATCACTACCAAGGTCAATTTCAATATTTGGAAAATTAGAAAAATTAGTTATAGTAGCTATTGCTTTAAATTCGATGACTTCTCTCGTTGCTTCAATGATTTCCATATAATGAATTACTATTCCTGGCTGAATATGATATTTAATGTTTTTGTCAAAATTAAAATTGATTTGTTTAATTTCAATGTCACCAACTGGTGTTTTTGCCATTACATTTATCTTCCCTTTTACAACAAGAGCGAAATCTTCTTCTTGATACATTTTTTTTGCTATTTCACTAAATAAATCCTTAGATTCTTCTGAAAATAACCTAAGCTTTGTTGTAAATCTTGATTCAATGATACCTGATGAATCAAAAATTGTTGTGTATGGGATATTAAATGTTGCAAGTTGTAATTCTTTATAAATTAAGTCGCATTCACAAGAAAATTTACAAATTCCAAGTGAAAATATATTAAGATATTTTATTCCACAATGTAAAGATACTTTCGGTGCATATTGATCTTTCGGATCAAATTTAAGGCCCCATGCACACTTAATAAGTTCATAATTGAAATTGATCTTCGTTTCTTCAGTAATGTTCACAGTAAGTGAAATTCTATCTAACCAAGAAACTAAGCATTCTCTTGCGTTAAAGGTAAGTTGTAGTTCCTTTCCAGATAAGATTTTAAAAAATACATCAGTCATTACATCTAACTTTTCTTTAGTATTCGGTTGTAATAAACATCCACTGAATGAAAGTGTATTACGATCGTTTGAAAATCTTGTTGAAGAAATTTTACCAACAGTTTGATTCATGTATTTAATATCAAATGGCATATTATCTAATTCTACTCTGACATGAGATGAATTTATGATATTCATAATAATAGTAATGCCACCATCAGGATGATCTGATGGTGCATCAATGTTATCAATTGTTAGAATATTCATTCCTATGCATACCAAAACAATAGAAGGTATTATTACGCATTTAGGTACAAACAATAAAAACAAGTTAGGAACGGAACGGAATTCAGAATCTCAGAATCTATTTTTTAGTCAAGAAGCAAAACTCTAGAGATTCCGAATTCACTTATACATAGTATTAATACAAACCATCAAATTTAATATGTTTTAATAATTTAACTTCCATCGGATTCAAGCTCATAAGTTTGACAGAAGTGTTTCCTTCTAGATCCCAGTAAAGTTGTTCATTCGTAAACAAAGCCCTGCTGAATGAATTAAAATCGTCCAATGGAGTGAATTCCATTTCCAATTGAATATTCTTTTGGGGTATGATTTTAATAGTTTTATGCTTTAAAGACATCTTGCCAATTGTCTTAGAATTAAAAGAGACTTGAATATCATTCAGAAATGTCATTTCTAATCGACATGATTCCGCATTAATGACTAAATGAAACAAAAAATTAATTTATGTCAATATTCCAAGATAGAGTATTGCAAAAACATTCAATTAATGAATTATTTAACCTGAAAGAGTCACAACAAAATTATTTTCAACGAGGTTTGTTAGTCTCACATTTGTAAAGACTAATGATGCTCCAGAAATAAGTTCATTTAATGAATTGTGATTTTCATTGTATTCGTTAATTTCTTGAGAATTTCCTTCTGCATAAATTTTGGTTTCATACGAATTCATTGAGCTAAAGTTATTCTGGGACGATATTGTAATTCTATTCAAGGGAGAAGATTCATCATCACTATTAATTGATGGTTCATTAGTAATAGAGCGACTTAAATCTTCATTATTGATTAAACAATTTAATGTTTAAAAAATTGTTTTTGTCTCTGGGCGTTTAGTAGGTTCACAATCCCAACATTTCTTATAAAGGTCAACATATTGAGATGGTGTATCTTCTGTCGGCTTTTCTCTATTTCCTTGAAGTATGTGTAAATAGAGTAGCATCTTTGATTTAATGTTTTCGAAGGGTACCTTTCCGCTTGAAATTTCCCAGAGGATTATACCTAAACTATAAACGTCAGATTTCATATTACGTTTATATTCGTCGTTAACAAGACATTGAGGTTCAATGTATGCTGGCATTCCATGCACAACAGAGTTTGAAGTTATTAACGTTTCATTTATTTGTTTTGACAAACCAAAGTCTGCGATTTTAGGGTGTCTTTGATGAATTAAAATATTCTTTGAATGCTAAATTATCAGAGGATTAGTAAATTAAAATTCATTAACATGTAATGCAAAATATAAAATGATTCTTACAAGGTCCCTGTGAATGACATTATTTTCATGCAAGAACAAGAGACCATGAGATATTTCCTTGGCAATTCGTAATTTATCTGTCCATTGCAATTTTGTATAATTCACTTCCAGATATTCTCGTAAATTTCCTTCGTCAGCATATTGTAAAATAATGTTATAACACTCCTTATCGTCTATTTATTCGTATAATAATGAATGCTTCGAATTAAAAAATTTATTAGGCTTATATACAATAAGTAATTAATTGTAAAATTTACCCCTTGTGACTCCATGGAATGTAATAATATTTTGATGATTACCAACTCTTTGCAATATTTTAAGCTTTATAATATTAGGAATTTGATTAAAAATAAATAAAAATTTTAATCATATACAGTAAAATATTAATACCTCATTAATAAAGTCATTCATATCTAAATTCATATTGAATTTAATACATTTGAGGGCGATTGTTAATTTGCAGTCCTTCCATTCGTATTTATAAACGGATCCAAAACCTCCTATACCAATCACCGTAGGGTTTGTAAATTTTCTATATTCAATGTAATTAATATGGCTATTGGAAATAGCTCTTTCGAGCCACTCTTCTGACATGACTACTTTACTAGTGAACTTTCCATTTGATCGAGAATGCGTGCATATATACTACATATGTGGCACGAAGTTTTAATTTCACCTTATTTGTGGTGTTCAAAATAGGGTTTAGAACCGGTTTTATTTTTCATATGTTAAACCGATTAAGCCGGTTGTAATATATAAAACCAGTCCCAAATTATAGTTCAAAAATAGTTTTGCACTTCTAATAACATGGCGGAGCAACAGTGTCACCTGCATGAAATTCACTTGACTTTTAAACAGGCCTACCGAAAAACAATTACAATCAATTATACAATTAAAATCAATTAAATTATTATAAAATTATTGCGGATTGCAAAATTTGAAGATCATTAAAAAAAAAGTAATCATAATTTCCGATTACTAATTTCCGATTTCTTCAACATTTTTTTTGACTTTTAGACTAGACAAAATTTCGCATTTACCATTTGTAAAAATTTGATTGAATATTTTAGATGCGCAACTCCTATTTCTGCAAATATATTACAAAATGATGAATATGCAACTCTTATTTCTATAAAAAATAATAAAATTTTTACAAAATAATAGATGCGTAAATTTTGTCTAATTTAAAAGTCAAAAAAAATTTGTTGAAGGAATCGGACATTAGTGATTATTTTGCACATGTCGAAATAAAATGGAATCCATTTTACTGTGTAGAGCGTTGTCTCATGTAACCCAATTTTTAAACAACGGGAATCAGAAATAATATGTATTTACTGAAATTAATAATCTTAAGATATTGATCTAATTACGTAAAAATGCAATTACCATCAATCAATTAATTGGGCTTGAAAAATTGCAATTGCTCCTACATTCAATTATTTTGTATGCCTGCTTTTAAAAACGTTTAAATATCACATTTGATCATTGGATCACATTTAAGCTAGTACAAATATAAAACATTAATGTGTGAATATACATGTTTGTAAGTGGGAATCGATTTAGATTTCTTAGAATTTTTAGGGTTAGGGTTAGAGTTGCTAATGAAACTGGCGACTATCTAAAACCTGACTGGATGTTTTAGTAAAAAAACCAATCAGATTTTAGATATTCGCCAGTTTAACCAGCAACTCTAGTTAGGGTGTAGGTTTATATAAAATAAATTCTACCCTAAAGTTTTATTGAGTAATTCCTAATTCACCTAAATTCCGGTCCCACTTACAAGATGTGTATCCCATAAAATTATTAGTACCATAGAATTTAGCAGTGAGACACTTTGAAGATTTTATCAAAAATGAAATGTTTCGGAAGGAGACTACGCGGAATTTTAATACAGTCAGCTCCCGCAATAGTCGCATTCGCATTTATCACAATCCCTCTATAATCACCTTGATTACATCATATATAAAATCCTTGCTCGCTTTAGTCACCATCTCGCAATGAGTAAATAAAATTCCGACTTTAACAAGAGTCTCAGTGCTAATAGACGTAGTACGTACATGTGTAGCAGTAAAGATATTTAAAACTCGAAAAAATATAATACAATATAATAAAATTTTTTGACTGCCAGATAAGGATTTCTTCTTGCAAGTTCATGATATAAATTATATCGTATAATCGCCCTACTTAAAATAAACGCAACTATGGTGTTTTACATCTATGCGTGCATTATTTCAACATGTAGCTTATAAATCGGTGCGGGTGTTCTAATTAAAATAGTATATACCCCTACAAATCCTTTCCAACTCTAATCCTAGCCCTAAAATACCAATTTTAGTGTGAAAAGTTGCGTTAAAAATTTTATATACCAAATTTATAAAAACTAGAAATATCTTAAAAGCATACGTAATAAAACAAATGATGGGTGCCAGATCTCATAGGAAGACTTTCGAATGATTGGCTGTTTAAATCAATTTAATTTTACATTATTTATACAGTTTAAAGTATTTTTTTAAAAAAATAAAACTACGAAGAATTAACAAAAAAGAAGTATATAAAGGTTTTATTAGGGTTGTAGGACCTCACTATTAACAATAATCAAAATCTCTTTTTGTTTTAGAGAAGTTAGAATGGTAATAACCTAATTTTATCTATTTTTAAGAAGTCGCTATTATGCTAATTTCTCTAAAACCAAAAGGAACATCGATTATTTTTTAATATTGGAGTCCTACAACCCTAATAAAACTTTTTATATGCCTCTTTTGGTTTATTAAAAAGTACATTAAACTGTATAAATAATGTAAAATTAAATTGATTTAAACAGCCAATCATACCAAAGTCCTCCCATGATGCCAGAACATCATAGGTACATTTTATAATAAATGTATAATCATTATCTTTTTATATTATATCATATCAAAAATTGACCATTGTGCAAGGGCGAGCATGATTATATTTGCTAAAAAAATCAATCGTCAACCATGTACAATATAAATAATTTTATTTTAAACTAAACTTTTTAATAAAGAAAAATTTGCAACGCACAACAAAAATTGCCGTATAATTTTATATAAAATTGTAATTTTTAACGTCTTCTCAAGATCAAAAAAACAGTTTTCGAAGATCTTCTAAACCTTCTTTACATAATACCGGTTTATAATAAATATGCGTTCGTTAAGATCACTGACCAATCATAAGCCATAAATTTGTCCAACTCTAATCATGCTGCAAGGGCGTGAGTACAGAATTTTTCACATGCATATTCAATTGTGCCTAAATTTGGGCATGTAGTTCTTTTCTTTAATAAGATGCGACGTTTCACACAAAACAAGAACGGAAATAGTCAAGATAACCTTATGGATACGTATATATGTACAATAAAGCTTCCTGACTAGAATTTTGTTAATAATAATTTCTACAAATATCACTAAAAAATTTGTTAATCTGTAAAAAGCTTGTATAATGAATATTTATAAATATTGATTTATTTATTTTTAGAAAAATAGATTGGCAAATAAATTGGAAAACCTTATAAAATAACTAGAGGTGCAGATAAGTTACGGAGAGTGGTGTTTATTTATACAAACTATATGCAAATAAGAACGAGCAAATTAACTTTGCTTCTTACTGGGTTAGAAACGTAATTAAAGAAATTTTATTAATTATTGTTGCAGCTGATGTTGAAATTTGGACATATTTTGACATGAAGGCATTTTTTTCCGTTTTTTTTTTTAAAAAAAAGTGAGCTAGAATTTTGGCTAGAATTGACAATAGGTGTATATTTTAGCTTTTTAACCTGATTTAATAAAAGGTTTAAAACATTGTTGATTATGACTGATTATGACTGAAACCGAAATTACTGCACCTGATTGGATAATTTTAATTTCAGTATTGCCGTGATACGTATTTAAATAATATTATGATACCATTAAAATCACATCTCATGATCTGAAATAAAATTTACCCGGTTATCAATGACAATAATTTAAATCATAAAAAAAAATCAATTTAAAGCAATATAATATTGATTTAAAACATTGTGTTTTAAATCATTTGCTATCCCTAATTTTAGCATGGCTTATATTTTCATATTAAGCCTCCAAATTACATGATACACAGCTAAAATTGATAATCAAACGCATGAAGACATCTTATTTTTGAAACCGGCGACCGAACCGAACCACGGTACTATTAGAACCGACCTTCTTAGAGACCGTGATGGACTAGGACGAACTGATCCAGCCCTACCATTATCTGTGACAATCATTAATTATTAACGGAATACTTTATTTAGAATAAGTGAATAAGTTTATCGTAACATCTATTGGATATTGTAAGTGGAAACGGAATTTGAAATTCTTAATAAGATCATAATTTTAAGATATATTTTTTTATATAAGCCCACAATCTAATTATAAAAT